ATTTTTGGTAGTTGAATTTTCTATCATCGTGGAAACGGTGTATTTATTGAGCATCACTTTAAACAGATTTGCCCATTGTATCCTCCAGTTTTGGTTTTAGCTGAGGGTATGAACAGGTGGGAGAAATTCTTCTTTAACAAAACTCAATTGATGATATCAGGAAGGATGAATCAATAGAATTATCACCAGAAGTGTTTTATCTAGCTCTGTTTATAATTGCAGTCATCATCTTCTATTAATGTTCTTGAATATCCAGATATGAGAAGAGAAAGACTTATTTTACACCCTACTTTGAGGGTAAAGAGTAAGCAATATTGTTGCTCGTGTGATGGCAGGTCACAGGTTTATTGCTTTTCACAGGAATCTCAGTTGTGAGTTTGAAAACATGTAATAGGCAGTTGTTATTTCTTTGCTATATTTCTAAAATTGCCACAAGATGGCAATGGTTCAGAATGTTATTCTTCCAGTTCCAGCTCTTTGGTTTTCCATTTGCGCAGGAAATTGGGATGTGGCTGCACCCCAGTATCTGTAGTCCCTGGGGCACTGGAGCGGGGAGAAGCTGGTGGTGACTGAGCGGACTTCTGTCTTTGCCAGCTGTTGTCAGCTGTTGCTGTTGTCTGCGTGAGTCTGGGGCAGCACTGAGTTGCTCTGTGGACGTGGCTGATGAGAAACAGATCAAAATGCCCTAAATCTAGCATCTAATACCCTGAAGCAAGGATTTTCTTTTCTTTCTATTTTTTTCTCCCAAACTAAAGGGATAAGCAGTATTACTGTTATGCTTGGTTTTTCCTTACACGTATTGGTGTTTATTATTTAATAAAGTAAAAGCTGTGCTGTTGGAACAATGTTCTAAACTGCCCAATCAGTTTAAAATGCAGCTTCTTATAAAAGTAGAACTAAAACCTTGTGCGTAAAAGCAATTTATTGAAATTGTTAATATGTATTAGTGAAATGGAATATGAAAACGTAGAAGTATTCCATATACTTTAGAGCATACTGTCAGCATGACTTTTAAGTAGCAATGTGTTAGTGTTAAAAATACTGAAGAGGTAAAGCATCTATAACAAATCCACAAAAACTCTTTTACTGCTGTAAAAGGAATATAGATAGGACTATCCTCTTTGAAGTGCTAAATGCAAGTGATTTTTTTTTATCTTTTAAATAGTTAACTCCATGATGCTATTTTGATATCTTTGATTAGTGTGTAAATTATGAAAAGCAAAATTACTACTGCAGCTCAGACAGAAGTTATTTATTCTTAAATAAATTAAACAGCTCTTCCAAAAGTTTATTCTGTCTTACGTATATTTTATTCTTTGATAGTCTCCTAAGTTTAACGGATGTAAGGTAAGATAATTGTTACCCTTTGCAAAAGAGGTATTGGATGGAGGGGAAGAAAATTTATCTGTTGCATGGCTGCAATAAAGAGAAAAAATTTTAAGGCGGTTAATCTTTTTTCCCTGAAAGTTTTCTTTGCTTATCTTTCAACTGCATTCTGCAGAATAACTACACTGAAATTCTGAATAACTGGAATTTGGTTATTTATTCTCCCTTGAAGCAGTAGTAGTTATTTATGAAGTATCATACAGAGTTATGGTAACAAGTTCTTTATCACTGAGAATGTGAAATCCAAAAAAACAATACAAAACTGAAGCATGTTGATGAAACTGGAGTGAACCAGTGAAGCCTTACTGTGTGTTTCAGTTCATGTTCTGAGTTCTGCTTACATTTCTGGGGACATGCTGTAATATTTAAAAAAAAAAAAAAGTGTAGTTTTTCAGAGCTGTTTCTCCTAGTCTTAAAATGTGGGACAGGAGTACTGACAATAAAGGTGTAAAGAAATAGTAGATGTGAGAAGCAGAAGGTAAAGGGCTGAAAGGTCTTGCACTAAGGAGAGAGTAAATGCACAGTGGACAGGTACTAGACTAGAAGGACGCACTTAAGCTCCTTTATGTGAACTGTTGCATGAAAGAATACAGTCCAGATTTATCACCCCTAAGTTTAAGCACTTCAGTTGGGATCCTAGTTATCCATGATGTCCTTCCCTCTTCCTCTGTTAAGCAAGAGTGATAACTGAGATTGGAGTAGTTGAGTTGTTTGGCAGTGTCTGAGACTCAAGATGTCCTCTACAGACACCTGTTCCTCTCCATTTATTATAATGTGATCCTAATGCAATTTGACTTACCTTGGTGTCTGTATTTCTGAGCTACTACTTTTACTTTTTTTTTCTTAAGGTACTTGCCTTCAAATTGAAGAGTGGTAATGAATGTATTAAAAAGGGACAACATAAAGAGTAAAACATAAGAGGGAGTGAGAATTCGCTGTGTTCTGTATTCTGACAAATACCAAAATGGAGGAACTGTATGCTGGAGTGGACCACTGTAAATTAATCTATATTTTTGGCAGTTAGCACACCTGTTCAGAATGTGTGAAATACACTTCAAATTGTCCATAGTATGAGGTTTAGCTTTTCGCATTTTCCACTGGAATTATTATCTTTTAGTTTTGTTGAAGAACTTTATTCCCTTACACACCCAGATTTCAAACTAAAACATGAGTAATTTAAGAAAGATACAGTAATTCTCAAATGCCATTCAACCCTCAGAATTACTACTTGAAGTGATGAATATATAAGCAATGGCATAATAAAGGCGTTTCAATTTGTTAAACTACGATGGTTAGAAACGAGGAAGTCAGAATTAAATTTATATTTCATTGCCTTATTCATAATGTTTTTGCTTGATATGTGGGTAATAGACAAGCAAATCACCTAAAGAATAAAGTCTGCAACATGGAAACACATTTTCATAATTGCTTTGGCAGGAATCCCACATGTTGTAGTGACAGACCTATGAATATTCTATAGAATGAATTAGCTGCTCACTTAGCAATGGGGCATTGTCTGTAGGGTTGGAAGCTCTTTATAAAATCCCCTGCAAGAACAAGCATGTGCTTACATTTGAATAAAAGCCCAAAATATCCCTAGTGATTTGCGTTTTCTGATATCTCAACTCCTCCGATGTCTTTAGAAAATGAGAGAAGAAATGTATCAGATAAAAGGAAGTAGCTGTCTTGCGTATTTGGGAATAAAGATTGAGTTCTCTTAGCACCAGTTAACCTGTGAGGTTCTGTATGAGGAACGGACGTCTAAAATGGGTGGATAGATACTACTTTTGGTATATGTGCAGACATAATAAAAATACTTCTGTCATACTGATTTTTAACTAGTAATGGTATGGACTGACAAGCTTTCAGTGTGTGACCAGCTATTCTCAAGTGCTCACGTGAGAAGTGCCTCAGCAACTTCCGTTGAAGTTAGCTTATCTCCAAAGGAGGCCTTTTCTTGTGTAGGGGTTTCCTGGGGTTTGTTTTTCTTTGCTAATCTTTTAGTTACAGTGAGGAACAGTATTATCCTGTATCTTGACAAGCTTGGATTTTTTTTTTTTCAAAGACGTAGTTCTTTGGCTTTGCATTGCTACCTCCTACATTTCGCAACTTCTTAGAGGATTTCTTATATCAAATACTTATATATCTATGCTATTGTTTCCTGTGAAAATGGAACAAATGGTAAGCTTTAGGTTTTGCATGTAAGTTGGAGAGAGTTTTGTAGTAAACTGCTACATGTTTCATAGAAGCAAGTCACTTGATGGACTTTAAGTAAACTTTATATAGGATGAAAAACCTCCCTCAATATGAAGGAAATAGAAGTTGTCCGAGATAGACACGTTGTCAGCATAGCAGCAATTTTGTTCATCCTGTAGCAGTGTTGTAGCTTAACTGACTTCAGTGTCTACAGTAGTGACCTGAAAGTCTTAAATCACCATTCTTACTTTAGATCCCTAAAAGTAAGAAACAATTATGCAGTTGGAATAATGTTATTTGTTGCAGGTTATCCATTACAAATAACACTTTTTACCCTTTGAAAAAAATGCTTTTGGTTTCTGGGTATACGTTTTTCTTTTTTTCTTTTTTTCAACTAAACAAAGCATGGGAAAGGTGAAAAATGCTTTTCAGTCAGTTCTATTTGAATATTTTAATGTTAAATTTAAAGCTTAAGAAATACTCACTGGGATAAAGGCTGTATATTAGTTATTAAGTTTGAGGGAAGCAAAATAACTATTCATGATTGTTGCTTTGTTGTATCAGTATGTTGGTGGCTGTCTCCTTTGATACCCCATTCTAACTTCTCTTCACAGATTTGGTAAGGAGAGAAGAATCCTCCTAAATGTTTTGAGAGTGCATATAAACTGTTGGCAAAAAGCCTGCATCTCATCACTGGAGACCTTTCAGGTTTTGCTTCTTCCCATAACATTAAATTTTGTAAACTGATAAAGTAAGTTGATTGCAAGGTTTAATCATGTAACATTCTCTACTTGGAATCTGTTTTCAATACACTCTCAACTTGGACACAAAATTCACTGAACTGAGTTTGGCATCAGTCTTGGAGACGTGCAGCTGCTGTTCCCACAGATTATTTATTTGTCTCTATAGGTAGCGGTACAACACTGGTGGGTAGAAGTCTCCTCGCTTTGTGGTGAGCATACTTGTTAAAACTTGCCTACGGTACTGCTTGGCCACTCAAAATTTTGGAGGCATCTTGGTTGTTTTTCAGCTATTTGAAGGCTGAAAAGATTTGAAGTATTTGAAAGCTGGAGCTGGGAAGTAAGTTTTGTTAGCTGGGGCTACTGCCATGGTGAGGGTCAGCCATCCAGTCCGGAGTATGTGTGGATAGTTCTTCTGAGAAATATTTTACATGCAAACCTATCCCCACTGCCCCAAGAGGTTTGCTTAAATGCTTGGTGAGTTCATGACTTGCTGCAGCAACCTGGCTTACCCAGCTGGGCCTCTGAAGAGCTGTGGCTCGCCAGCCACCGGGGAGCCTGGGCCTTTTTTCTCCAATCTGTACCTACCAAATGAATGATCTAATGCTGAGTGTTTTCACTTTGAGACTAACTGCATTTATTACTGTTTTCTTCCCTCTCCTTCTCTCTCGCATGTAGCTCAATAAGCAGCAGCTACAGATCCTGAAGGAACGTTTCCAGGCCTTCTTGAATGGGGAGACACAAATTGTAGCAGACGAAGCATTCTGCAATGCTGTGCGAAGTTATTATGAGGTAAGTTACTTGCTTTATTTTCTGTACTATTTAAAAAGCTCGTAGTATCTTTTTAATGCACATAGCTGTGAACTTCCAAATCTTCTAGAAACAGTGTGTGTCATCGTGTCGCCTCCTCCCCAGTCTACACAGCTTTGCAATTTCATAAGTTTAAATCCACTGCCTGGGCACAAGAGATAAACTGAACTGGAAAATACCCACTTGTTTTGAGGGAGGAAAAAAGAAAGGAAACAAAAAACGCCTGGTGCTAAACATCTTTCTGGCAGTGTTTGATTCAAGTAGGCACCACTATCTTTATCTCCATATGTCTACGTTACTCTTTTAATGAGAGCTTCAGCTGTCAGTTCTCATCTTGAGAAGTGCATCTTCTGATTTTCAGTTATTATAGTGCAATATTTTTGGAGAGAAACCGCTCGTTCCCTCCCCAAAGGAGCAACGCTTCCAATGCAGCTGGGCCAAGCTGTGGCTTCCTGGGGATCATCTGTGATTGCCAGCACCACTGCCAATCTTTAGATGTGCTTTTTAATTGCCTAAGGGATAGGTCTCGTCCTGAACTAAGATGACAGTTCACTGTCCTTTTCCTAGCATCAGAAACACAAAAGAATACATAAGAATGTATTTTGTGCTATTAGCAAATGGTATTGTGAATTCATTTGTCTAATGTAACTTCAAACTTGTTTAGTGAATCACAAGGGCTGTATAGAATCACAGAGTGGCCAAGGTTGGAAGGGACCTCTGGAGATCATGTAGTCCAACCTCCTGCTCAAGCAGGGTCCTCTAGAGCATATTTCCCAGGATCACGTCCAGGCAGCTTTTGAATGTCTCCAAGGAAGGAGACTCCACTACCTCTCTGGGAAACCTGTTCCAGTGCTCTGTCACCCTCCCAGTGAAGAAGTTTTTTCTCAGGTT